TATATATATATATATATATATATATATATATATATAACATGCAAAATTATAAACTAAGAAGGTAATTGTGTATATACTTATAATTAATAACCTGCAATAACTTTGTATTCACAATTGCCTCGTAACATTAATTCAAATATGTAATAAATGTCTCTCTTTTTATCTTTAGATTATTAAGAGAACAAATAATATCGTTCAATTTGATATTGTTAAGTAAATAGAGATTTGAATGAAATAACATTTATATACTCGTAACTTATAGTTATTTGAGTTTGTTTATCAAATAAAAAATTCAAAATTTGGTCAAGAATTCTTTCTGCAAAGTATTGGCGATTTAACTATATATGAAGTACTGGTGCTTCTTTAGCTGAACCTTGAGAAAACATATTAAACAAACGGTTGTAAAATGGATTTTCAGTACAAAATAATATATATAATTCTCTTTTATTTGCTTCTTTTAATTGATGATGGATGATAGATACAGAAGAAAATTATAAAGTGTTTTTTGAATAAAAGTCGGTGGTAGTAAGCATGTAAACAAATTTACACTTCTATACGTCCTCTTTTACTTAACAACATCAAGCTTTCTTTTTTATTTTAGCCATTTATTCTTCATTTCATCATTATTATTTATGTACAACCAGCTTAATGTCTTGTTATCGTTAGTAGTAATAAGTCTACTAAAACTCATGTGCTATTGGAGATGATGTGCGTCCGTGGGAACTTATAAAAATTATTTTTTGATACAGCGGAGTGATTTTGGTGTTACTTACGAATTATTACGTCTTTATCTAGTAACTTATAGTGAGATCTAATAGGTTATACAATCTATCGGCCTCCCTTAAATATTACAAACCTTATCACATATATAAGGGTATGTATTAGTACTTATTACTTTTTATACATAGATATTTTGTATTCTGTTTAAATTGCTGCCAGTGATTTCTTCTCGTATGTACAATTACAAACCACGTATTATACAATCAATATCTAGAACATACATTCCTCCTAGCTCTCTGCCATTCTCACTTTCATACTCATGTCCATCTTTTTCCTCTTACATTCCATCTCTCTTTTTCGCTTTCTCCTTCTTTTTCAAACGCACGCTTTTTCTTAACTCTTTCTTCTTAATATCTCTCTTTTTTTTTTTTTTCTTTGTTTTAGAATTCGTGTCACTATTGAGCTCATTACGTTAACGCGACGCAATTTCATAATCAGAGGAATTCTTTCAAACATTCGAAGACACTTGCGAAGATTGGTCAGTCTAATGGTACGATATAGACAATAATCGAGCAAAAGTAATTAAAATCGTGGCTAGGCTTTGTCGTTTGGTGAAGAATTCATTTTCGTGAGCGATAACTGATAACTGTTGCGTTACTAACTGTGCCCAAGACACGAGAGAAATTAAGCGAATAGAAATATAACACGTACAGAAAAGAATACAATTGTTGAATGCATTCGCTGCAAGATAAACACATTGTACATGAGAATATTTAAATTATCGCAAACGATTTTCTTTTGTTCATAAAAGGTCACTTTCCTGGCTATGACAATTACCAGAAATATAATAATTCTGGACAGAAAAAAATCGATTACGTTCAATATGACATGACATCTCAATGTTTCCTTTCATATTTGCTAACATTTTATATCATATGTTACATTCGCATTATAACGTACCACGATCATACTCAAATATCAAATATATCGAATGTGCAATTACATATGTCAATACACACACATTCCTGAAAAATCTTTCTCCAATGCCGATGACGATCAACGTTAATAAACGGAAACAGCATGTTTATCACACCTATGCTTAAACTTCATTCATTTTATATCTATGACAATTTCATTATCTTCCCGAAATAATTATTTTTATTACCGAAAGAGCACTCTCTAATTTACAAGAACAGAAAATACATGGATCATTTTTCGCTTTTCTTCCTTCCCGCGATCAATGACACTCTCACGAGAGATCTTCCCATCGCATTAAGTGCATTCATCAACAATTAACATACGGACGACGAAATTATTATACGTACTAAGACGTGAACATCAGTATTGCTAAAGATCGAGAGCCAAAAATGCAAATTTTTCATTGCAAATCTTGAATTTTGATTGAGGGAACAATTCCAGTATATAAAATTAAAAAGAAAGAAAATGACGTAAAATAAAGTCTAATGTATTGCTAAAATTAGTATTGACTTTCATATCAGTATGTGACTATACAACACATGAGAATAAGAAGCATTCTCTAGCTGGATACTTGATGTTATTAACATTTTTCTCCATTCATCTGCGATGCACTTAATAATGAGAATAAGATTACAAATCGGTGCGAATATGTCCATAGACTTTTGCTTTCCATTTTATTATTGCAGCCATACTACGAATTTTTTCCCTGTAAGCCTCACGCAATATTTTAAACGATCACAACGGCAACGCATGTTAAATTTTATCGTTATGCCCAAAGAATATTTCGAATGATTATTTACGACATTATATGCTTCAATCACTGCGTTCTCCAATCCGGTGGATACATTTGTACTTAGAATTTACATTTTTCTTGCCTTTACTAATTTATACTTAATTAAATAAACACGCAGGCGTACAATTAACATTACTTTACAAATGTGGATACTAATTTCGTGATTTTCAACACTGATAGACAGCTCCTACGCTTTCTTGTACATTTATCTCGACACGTTTCTCTTCCATGTTAATTTCGTTGCAATCGTTTAGAGAAAATGCTCAAGAAACGAACATATTAAAGGAATTCAATACGACGAGGCATAACTGTTTAAACGCAGGTCAATTCTTTTTATCTCAACTGGGGACGTGACTTTCGGGAAGTTTTTCTCTCAAAAGTTCTGTGTAATGACACGATTGATTTCTGTTTTTTCTTTTCTTTTTTTTTTTTTTTTAACTTCTCAGCGAAAACGCTTAACTTTCTGTCATTTTTAAAAAGCAGTATCGCACGATACCACGATAAATCATATTCAAAGAGGCAGAAAGTAAATAAAATTAAATCCTGTATATTGCTGATCTACCATCCATATCGTGTATGCTTTGACAAACCGAAAAACAACGATTACTTTATAGCAAAATGAACTCATTCTAATGATGATGAAGCATTGTATATCTAGTATGTATTAAATTGCGTATACGTTCTCTGAATATCATATATGATCTTTGTATTGTTCGCAGCTGCAAAGTATTTGTTCTAGTATCACGTAAAAAGGAACATGTATTTGTGAACAGTAAATTTTTTCAAATTACGATGAAAATAAAATCAAGCATGATTCTTTCATAAATGACTTATATGCCAGAGTAGAGTTTTCCAACTCTAAATAAAATTCACTTGTCACGCTACAATAAAGAGAAAGACATTGCAGGTTTGAAGAGGCTCTTAAAAAAATAAATTCCATTTAATGAAATAATTTAATAATAATAATAATAATAATAATAATTAATAATAATAATTATTAATAATAATAATAATTAATATTAATGATAATAATAAACTAATTTTGTAGTTTCTAAACTACACCATTCTATAATCACTTTACCATTATTCATAATAATTGACAACTTTGTTCTAACGCGAATTTACAAATATTTCTTTTTCTTTTTTTTCTTTTTCGAAACACATGATAAATTTAATCATAACGATCGATACGATTAAATTTATGATGTGTATATTTTCATTAGGTATATTTTTCTATATTATTAACTTAATAAGTCACACGCAATACATTCTCTCTTTCTCTCTTTTTATCTCTCTTTCGCACATCTTTCACTTTCTTTCGTTCACTTATCATCACTTAATATTTTTTTGTTTTGTTTTCAAATTTACATAAAGTACAAACTTATGAAAACCGGAAAAATGTAATACAATAGTTAGTGTAGCATTCTCAAAGTATATGCAAGCACTTATACAATTACACTAAGTCACACTCAGGTGTCCGTCAACTACACGCAAGTCCCGCGCCATTCAACAAATTGCCTCTTTGTAGTCCGATTCACTCAGGCAATGACGTTTAGGATTTCCCAGGTTGGAATATCCCAACTCGCACCACTATTCTCACATAACTCGCGTATTAAGTAATACTATTGTATTTTCCCCGAGTATTTCACAGATCTCTCACTCGGTTTATTGTCATTTCATGTCATTTTATTTATGATTGACTGATGCATATATTTATATGTGTGTGTATGTACACACACATATTAATACATACACGCATCAAGAAATCATAAATAATGAAATAACAATAAACAAAGTGAGAGATCCGTGAAATTTTCCAGAGAAAAATACAATAGTGGTGCGAATTGGGACATTCAAACCTGGGTAATCCTAACGTCATTGCCCGAGTGAGTCGGACTACAAAGAAACAATTTATCAAATGGCGCAAAACTAGTGTATAGTCTACAGACACCTGAGTATGACCTAATATAATTGGACAAATACTTACATCTACTTTGAAAATGCTACATTGACTAATGTATTAGAGAAAAATACAATGAGCAGCAAATAACATTATAACGAT